TTTAGAGATATTGTTTTTGATTCTATTTATATTGTGAAACCCTATTTTGAGAAAGTTTAGATTTATTTGGTTTAACTCCTCTTGTAGTTGATAAGTGTTGGCTATATCATCTTGTTTTGTACAGTTTTGTGTACTTTGTATTTGTCTATTTTCTTTAGTTAAGATTGTATTTTTTGTTTCATTTGGTTTTGCTATATCCTCTTTTTCAGAATAAGCCCCTTTTTCTTTTGAGGATATTGTGTAATGCTTATTCCTGTTTGTTAAAATGCCTGAGGTGCTTTTAGAAGTGATCCGCAAACTGAGTTTGCTTTTTTTCAAGAATATCAAGTCTTTCTAAGATTTTTTGGAGTAGTGCCATTTGGTTAGAGTTTTTCTTGTTTGATGTCTTATTTTTGTTTTGTATACTGTTTTTTGTATCTTTAGTTAAAGGTTCTTGTTTCTTTGTATATCAGTTCTTGGATTCTCTTTTTGTCTATTTTCATTTCTTTCAATCTTTTTGTTGTCATTAAAGAGCCTGTTTGTTTTGGTAGTGCTATTTTCATTCTCCAGTTTTTTTGTCTTAGCTGTGCTTGTTGTAAGTTTCTAATTCGTAGATAGGCTGTTTTCCCTTGTTACTGTCTATAGTAAGGCTTTTGCGTATAATAGGGTTGTTTAAATTCCTGTTTGTGCTAATATCTCTAAGCATAGTTTGCTATTCTAGTTTGGTATTAAAGTAGAACAGGTTGTGCTTTTGAGCTTGTATGAGATCAGCTTCTGTTTTAAAATAGATATGTGACCTTCTACTTTGGTTTTCATTACAATTGTTTAAGATGTGCACTGCTTGAACTTTGTGTTTTTCAGTTGCTATAATAATAAACTATCTATTGCTATTTTTGGAATATTAATGATAGTAGCTTTATATTTGTTTTTTTGCTCTAATTCACTATTGTTAAATTTTCCTGAAGTTGTTCTGTATATTTTGCCTTGGTCTAAATAAATTAACCAATTCTTTCTTAAGTAGCTTTCTTTTTTCTCTATGTTTGTTATAATTTTAATATATGCTACTTTAGAATTGTAATTTTGTTGCCAGGTGAAAATTGTTGCAGTGCCAAAGTAACTGGGATACTTTTTAATTTTTTTAGCACTCATTTCTTTAAGAAGGTCCTATAGTGTAAAATAATAATTTGTTGTATTTGTAGCTGTTGTAATTGTAAAGCTACCTTTTGGTGCCCAGTTTAAGTTGTAGATATCTTCATGATATTTAGTTTTTTTCCTTGTAAGTGATTCTTTCCTAGTCTGCTTTTGTGGATTTGCCTTTTATTAATGAATTCTTCTAGTTCATAGTTTAAAGCTCCAGCTTCATTTTGTAATAAG